ATTTCATTAGGCATGCAAGCAGAGTATTAAGACCAGTTATTTCAACTGTTAAGCCTAAGAATGAGTTCTGTCAACCAATTAACTGTGCATGTAAATGCATTATACACTGAACTATTTATTATCTTTGATTGGGAATGGACTAACGAGAGATTATATTTCACCTCAGTTCCAGCAATGCCCATAGCAAGTCCAATATCTGCTTCATGAAGTGCAGGAGCATCATTAGTTCCGTCACCAGTAACTGCTACCACTTCATTGAATGTTGTACGCAATTGTTTGACCAACGTGTGCTTGTCTAGTGGTGAAGACCGAGCCATCACCTGAAGAAGTAAATAGGATGTAGTAAAAAATTAGATATCGCAATGAATGAACAGGGAACATTTTAAAAGAATAATTTGTTATAATCTCCTCATTCTCATTTGTAAACAAAAATGATTGAAGTACCTGAATTTTGGGAATCAGTTTTAGCCATTCCTCTTGACTCTTCTCCCGGAAAACTGGACCTTCAATGGCAATACCAGCATCAGTCAGTATACCACATTCCCTAGCTATGGCTGTTGCAGTATTGATGTTATCTCCAGTAACCATTCGAACAGTGACCCCAGCAGAACGACAGAGTGCCACTGACTCCCTAACTCCAGGACGAACAGGATCCTTTATACCTACAATACCTATACAAGTATACCCAGAAACTGGAATATCAGCAGCAGGGGAGAATCCTTTATCCAGCTCCATATAGGCAAGACACAAAGTGCGAAGAGCTTCATTGGCAAACTGATCAATTGTGGTCTTCAGATGGTTAGTTGATGTTTCATCCAAGGGAACAACCTCCCCACTGGAATTAATTACCTTGTCACAGGCAGCTAAAACTATTTCCGAAGCGCCTTTAGTATGAGCCCTTAAACCTCCTTCAGGAAGCTCCAGCACCACACCCATGCGTTTCCTTGTAGAGTTAAATGGCTCAACTTTTATAAGTTTCCCAGCTTGTCGTTCTGCCTGAAAATCTCCACCAAGTGATAAACCAAACTGCAATATAGCAGTCTCAGTTGGTGTTCCCAATATGTCAGGTTTCCCGTGCTTGGTAGCTACAACTTCTCCTCCAGTATTGTTAAAAATTGACTGCAGCAAAGTTTTGAGTACAGAATCAGGGATTTCAGAACAAAGGGCGGATGCATCACTTGGCTTATGCACATCCTTGACATTCATACAGAAGCATGTTTTCACTACAGTCATGCGGTTGGTTGTTAGCGTGCCAGTTTTGTCACTACAAATAGTTGTAGCAGAGCCCATTGTCTCACAAGCTGCTAAATGCCGGACAAGTGCCTTATCATTCATCATCTTTTTCATGGCAAACGCAAGACTTAACGTCACTGCCAGGGGAAGTCCTTCAGGAACTGCAACCACTACAATTGTAACTGCAATTGCAAAGTATTCTAATAATTCCCTAGCCTCTCCTGCAGACCAGCTCCAGTGTGATCCTTCTGTAAGTTTACGGCTATACATTTTCTGCACAAGTACTGCGAAAGTCACAACAGCAAAGAATAGGCCTATTTTCCCAATGATTGTTGCCACTCCATTCAGTTTGACCTGTAATGGAGTTTCATCATCTCCGCCTTCACTGAGAGTTGCTAATAGTTTTCCCCACTGAGTCCTCATCCCAACTGTTGTTACCAACATCTTACAAGACCCGTCTTGAACCTTGGTTCCAGAAAGAAGAAAGGGATTCTGAGCAGTGACTGTCACTGGCTCACTTTCACCAGTCAAACTGGACTCATCAATTAAAACAGAAAATCCTGAAAGAAAGAGTCCATCTGCAGGGACTTGATCTCCTATTGCGAGATGAACAATATCACCTGGAACTAGATCATATATAGACATCTTTTGTCGGTACCCATTCCTAGTAACTTGGATGGATATTTTCTTTTTTTCTTTATCCAGGTCTCTGAACTGCAAGGATTGGCGATAATCACTTGTTGCAGTAACAAAGACCACCAACAATATGCTAGCTACTATACCAAGGCCATCATGTGCCCCATCTGGCCATCCCTCCATTGCAATGCCAACAAGTAGAGAAACAAATGCACAAGCACCAAGGATCATGAGGGTCATGTCCTGAAGGGCTTCCCAAACAAACAACCAAAAGCTCCGAGCTTCACTTTCTTGGAATTTATTCACTCCAAATATCTCTTGTCTGCGGATTAGAGTACTATAATCACGTGTAGATAGCCCATCAGTACTTGAAGTAGCCAGTTTATTTGCAATGCCATCCACTCCACCATGAAATTTCACCTTTTTCAGATCATGGCCTTCAACTATGGATCCTAGCTCTTCCGCGTCAATTTGAAAACCAGCTTTTTTAACTTCATCAGGGAGAGTGTAGTCACTTACTTGTACACCTGCAAGCCACAGAATTAACACCTTAAGATTTTCCCATTGGGTTACCTTATTAAACCGAACATAAATTGAAATTCACCTGATATGAACTGAAATGCAGCCTTGGAAACCAAAACTGCTACCCTTAATTTCTCCTGTAACGCGTGAAACATAACATTCAACAACATTTACCAACAAGCATTTTGTTCATAAATCTGTCACTTCAGTACACAACATAATACGACAGTAACATCAAACGAGATCAAGTTTTAATACAATTTCGAGATAACAAAACACTAGTGCTGTAAATTTGGCATGCATCAGGCAACAAAACTTCTCCTTTTGAAAAAAAAAAACTATACGAAACGGCTTAAAAAGGATCCATACTATATAGTACTACTCTATAATATATCACCTATGTTATAAATGTAGATATTGCATTTCATTATTTTGCCTAATTCCTACATGAATCAAATTAAATCAATCATGTCTCAAATCCTTTATATAACGCAATAAACAGGACTTTTTTTTTTGAACAATCAAGTTGACATAAGCATTCTAGCTTGCACCCATTGTAGTGCTACGGCAACTCCTTTATTAGTGTTAACAATTGTATAATATAAAATTAATCAGTGATAAGTATATCTTTAATAGAGAAAACACAAAACTGATGGTACAAGTAAAAGGGAGTACGTACATGATTTGTACGGCGCATGGCGGCAGCCTCATATCGCTTTGAGAGATTTGCAGTGAAACGAAATCGACGTTTTGGATTCTTAACTACACCACAAAGACTCCTCCATCGCCGGAGCATCTCCTCCTCGGAGTGCTTCGCCTTCACTCCTCCAAAATTCTCATTCAAATAGCTCTCCATATTTAATTTAATTTTTTTTTCTTCTCTGTTTTAGTTACTACAAATACAAATCAATATATAGACAAACCGTTACTTTCATAAAAGGCAACGCATTGAAGAAAGAACAGTAACGCGGTGAAAGAGAAAAAGTGAGGAAAGTTAAATTGGGGTAAGAAGTTTCCAAGACATTGTTGTGACTTGTGATGAAAGAATATATTTGCAGAAACAAAAAGTAGGAAAATGTGGTGTGTGTGGGAGCTTTATGGAGACAAGGAGAATAATAATAGTAAAAGAATTAAGGAGTAGTGAAGAAGATGGATCCGAGTTTTGGGTGAAAGACGCTATGAATACTTGGTTTAACATTAATGGAGCTTCATTAATTTGCATTAAAACGGTCCTTCTTTTATGGCATATGTTACGTCATATGTTTCATCTAATTAGTAATGCTAAAAAGTCTAGTAGGAGTAGTAATTACGTGAAAGAGAAAATTAATTGAGTATGGGTGTTTATTTTTACTCTCTTTGCTTCGTTTACGCGTTTGGCAGACGCAGGACCATATATTCCTTTTTGGTTCCTTGCAGTACTGCTAGCTAGCTCTTTCGTAAACGATAAGTCAGTCACGTCCCTTTACCTCGCAATCGCTTGTAATCTTCATTTTTCAAGATGATACCCTCTTTTGTTTTATATTTTATGCTCCCTCCGTTACAATTTTATCGATTTGATAAGAAATTTAAATATATTTAAGAAACTTACAATATTAAATTAAAGATATTTAGAACGTATTAAATTATTTTTTAATCTAATAATCTTAAATATGCTATGCTATGTGAAAAGTTAGAATTAAAAAATTCACTAAAAAGATAGAGACATGTTTTTATAACGACCTAAAAAAGAACAAATCGAAGGAAGGAGTATGTTTTAACTAATCACATGTAGTTTATTTATGACTAAAACAAATCATACATACTTGTATGAATTAAATAATTTCATCTTTCTCGTGATGGTTTGTTGTTTTATTAACATTGGGAACTTTATACTAAATGAATTTCATATATATCATTTGGTTGTGTATGCCGAATAGTTGTCCTGAATTCGAGATATCAATTATCACGTGCACAATAAACATTGGATATCCAAGTGTGAAGCAAATTTCTTATAAAAGCATCTAAATAGTAAGTTCTCGGCTTTCACAAAGCTTCCGATAGCACAACTATGAGGCAATATGTTTATTATTATAAGAATTCAAGAGAAGGTCACACAGTAAGACAAGTTTGTTTATCATTATGATAGATAGGTGTCAAGTGAAAGTACAGTAATGTATGAAACAGGGCATCTTAATGGATCGGTAGACTTGAACCCTATTCCTAGGTTCATTTAAAACTTTTTCCTTCGTCTTCCCTTGGGAAGTCAATATGCAAAGAAAATTAAGCTAATCTAGTAAAATTATTAGTTTTAGATTTGGACTTTACTTTGCCAACGTCAAGAATTTTTTAGGACCTAAAAATGTAGTAGAGTAATTGCCTTTTAAGACTATTTTTTTGGATATAATAATATTTTAAATATAAGTAAGATTAAAGAAGAAGATTCCAATCAGTTGCCCACCCGTTTACCAGATTCACATAAGAGAAGTTCTAATAGACCAGAACCCAAATACTGACCGTCCGATTAAAATAGACGGTCTATAATGGATCCTTGCTGGCGACCACAAACTGTCACGTTGTGTTGATCGGACCTTTCTCTCGTGGTGGCTGCCCCAATATTTATTTAGCTCCCTTCGCTACGCTAGTTTTCTCTCTCTCCTCTCTCTGTTGTTCTTACGAAACTTCCATTCCCCTGCGAGAGAAAATGAGCAAGGGACCTGGACTTTTCTCTGATATTGGCAAGAAAGCCAGAGGTAATTTTCCGATCCAGTTGCTTTCATCTTCTTCGTTTCATTTTCAATTTCAGTTTTGCTACTAATTAGCGATGATTTTAAGTTAAGCAGATAGATGCATATGATTTATACTGACCACATGATATTTTGATGCAGATCTTCTGACTAAGGACTATATCTCCGATCAGAAACTATCTATTTCAACCTACAGCGACACTGGAGTGGTATGGTTTTATTGACTTTTAGCTCTGATTGATACTTATTTCTTCTTAGTTTGAAGTCGAGATTCTGGTTTTAGTTAGATTTCGGTGCTGTGTGAATTTTAGGGTTTATGCAATCTCCTTAGAGTGATTTCATGATTTGAGTTGTCGTTTGGAGTTCAGACGATGGTTTAATTCCAGGTCATCTTAACTCATTTTCCTATTTTAAGTGGAATTTTCTGTTTTCAGTGTAACAGTGATCTTTTATCATATGATGAAGATTTCTCAACTATGAGATAACAGCTATTTGCTCTATGATGAATTTGTATGATGTTAGGGGTTTTTTTCAAGTGTGTTTTGATTTTGATTTTTTTTCTATATCAATCATTTTTATTGTAAAAGCACAGTGCATTCTTTAAAACTTAAATTACATAACAGAAAAAGTGGGATTATACTGTTTAGCTGCCAATAATAACCAATCTGAATGGATAACTGTACTTTCTTATTTTCTTGAAGGATATTGCTGATCTTGCCGGCAGCAATATATTGTTCCTTACTTTTTGTATATGATATTCCTTTTATTCAATTCTGCATTGCACAACTAACCTCCAATCCTTCTCCTCCATTTATCTCATAAAATGATCTAGCATCACCTTTAAGTTAGCTCAGTCCTAGAATTCTTGTGATTAATTATTGGTGTTAAGATAGATGTCTTCGAGGGGATATTTCAATCATTTGCACAAATTTGATAATGGATTTAGGAACCTCAAACTTGATAATGGATTTCCCTCATTTGGTATGTAGATGCAGAAATATTCTAACAATAGAAGTTTCCTCTTTTATTTTCTAAGCTGAAAGAAAATGTTTTAGAATTTTGATGTATATACTAGGTGTTTAAGTACTAATGTTTTGACACGACAGACAGAAAGTTCTACCCTCTTCTTTTACATTTTTTATTCGCCATCTGTCTGAAGTACATTTTGGCTAAGAATTGATCTAGACAGCGTTCTTTCTTGAAGTTGAAAAGAGAAGTAGAAAATTCTTTAGAAAGTCCCAGGCACCAGCCTCCTATAACCCTCTCCCATCTCCCAACAAGAGCACTCCTAAAGATTGATAAGATGCTCAAATGACGAACTAATCCTCCTTTAATTGACATGTTGAAGATATGTGAATCATCCAAAACCTATATTTGTTGTTTTTCAGAATCGTGGAAATAATTGCATTGATCAAATTAAGAATGCAATAGTTAAGCCTAGTGTAAGGTAATAATATGTATGAGTTGACTAATTGAGATGTCTTAAATTAGTATTGATAACACTTTTGAATCTTTATATTTTACATCTATGGAAGTCTGTAAAATAGGTTGACGTTTTAAGAGTAAAATAGGGTTCTCAATGATTGATGAATAAACTATTTTGGATCCAGCGTATGTTTCTCATAGTTGGTGAACTCCTTTGAATATATTATCGATTGATTCTAGCTAATATCTAAGTCAAAGTATTTCGTTCAAACTTTCTGCCCTTACTCCCACCAACTAGAAGTACCAGACTTTCTAAGATTGAAATATTTGAGGCTGTTGCTCGGGCGCTCCTAAATTGTTGCTGCACCCGCATCGGATCCTCAAAATTGCACTACTTTTTGGTGGATCCGACACTCCCCCGTCGGTAGATTTGGAGAGTCCGAGCAACATAGATTTGAGGTGGTCCTCTTTATTAACAGTTTCCTATGAAGATTGTTTGAGAACTTCAGTGACTGATATCTAGAGCCCTTGCTGAACTTTATATTTTGTATCACAATATGTTGAAAGGGCAACTAAACTTAAAACTTTGGTGTTTCCATTCTTATGTCTAGATAGGAATTCAAATGTGATGGACTTATGTTTTTGGTACAGAACAAGAGTGCACATGGTACTGAGAAGCTTTTGCAGTTTATGGCCTCATTGGATTCATTATAGTTTTGGACTTTCTTAGTATATTGATAAAGATCCTTCTACAATCTTCTAACCATGTTGGCTCTGTACTTTTCAGAAATAAGATAATCTCCTTTATTTGCTGCTTAAAAAATGTGTCTTGAATATTTTCCCAAAAGTATATGGTCTTATTTGCTCCAGTAGATAGTTTCAGATTTTACGTGCTAGTTTTCTTCTCTATTTGGATTACTGACAATAATAGATATCAATTTGGATTCCTAAGTTCGTGCTCTTTAATCTTGATTTCTCGATATAGGCCCTTACATCAACTGCAGTAAAGAAGGGGGGCTTTCAACTGGAGATGTTGGAGCACAATACAAATATAAGAACACTTTGATTGATGTCAAAGTTGATACAGCGTCAAACGTGAGTTGCTCACGCCTTGGTCTTCTTTGCAAAACAATGCCTCTCTTTTTATTTGTTTTATAATGTTTTCATGTTTCTCCCTTTTGCTTGCAGATTTCAACTACTCTTACTCTAAATGACATTGCCCCCTCAACGAAAACCATTGCCTCGCTAAAATTCCCTGACTACAGTTCTGGGAAGGTGAAATTTTTTCCTATATTATGGCAAATGAGTATTGATTGATTGCTGGAAATCTTAGAATTTTCCCTTCTGAAACATAAATTTGATTGTTCTTGCAGCTAGAAGTTCAATACTATCACCATCATGCTGCCTTTAGTACAGCTGTTGGTCTGAAACAAAGCCCTATAGTTGATCTCTCTGTCACGCTTGGTACTCCCACTTTCGCCATCGGTGCAGAGGCAAGTTATGAGACAGCCGAAGGTAAACTTGCAAAATATACAGCTGGCATTAGTGTGACAAAACCAGATTCTTGTGCTGCTATAATACTGTAAGTCTTCACTGAGCATTTGTATCTATGAAATGAAACTAAAACATAAATGAAAAGAAGGTTAAAAGTTTGACATACCTGTTGTTCTAATTGATTCTTTTTACACCAGGGGTGACAAAGGGGACACAATAAAGGCATCATATATACATCATCTAGATGAATTGAAGAAGAGTGCAGCCGTGGGCGAGATCACTAGACGGTTCTCCACAAATGAGAACACCTTCACAGTTGGAGGGTCATATGCTGTTGATAACCTGACAATTGTGAAGCTCAAGCTCAATAATCATGGCAACCTGGGGGCTCTACTGCAGCATGAGCTGATTCCGAAGTCATTGTTGACTATTTCTAGTGAGTTTGACACCAAGGCCTTGGAAAAGACTCCCAAATTTGGTGTGGCCCTTGCTCTGAAGCCTTGAACTGCATTTTTGGATGTGAACAACTAACATTTTTTTGGGGGTTAGTGCCTGGAGGAGAGGTGTTCAATAAGTAGTTCGACAAACTTGTGTTTTTTTCCACAATTTAGATGGTTTCTGAATGAGTTGCTCTGATTCTAGGGCCTCTTTATGGTATTTCTCTAGTTTTCCCTGTCTTCTCCATATCCCCTCGGAGAAAGACAAAGTGTTTGATGTGTTCCCTCTGGAAGAGCTTTTTCTTCTGATATGGTGGCAATTAGGTAACTTCACCAATTGCATTAATTTCATTTTAATTGTTTCTATGTAGATCTCTTTAATTGCTACATTCTGTACTTGAGCTGAGGGTCTCTTGGAAACAGCCTCTCTAGCTCTACGAGGTAGTGGCAAGGTCTGCGTACACTCTACCCTCCCCAGACCCCACCTAGTGGGATTTCACTGGGTATGTTGTTGTTGTTGTTGTTGTTGTCTGTTTTTTGGTAATTGTTTGCTGTGACTGGTTAATTTCTCATCCTTTATAAAAGTAAGTTCCAGTCCAAATAGACTCAAAATAAGTTGAAGCCTGCATAGCCTTCTCTCTTAAGTACTTTCGAGGGGCACGTGGAAATGCAATTTATCTCAAGGTTATGTAGTGAATGAAATCATACAATCCATGCTACGTTACATGTGTCTTTTTTAGACCAATTTTCCATACCTCAACATTGTACTGAGCTCGTCTCGACATGATTTTTTTTAAGGAAAAATTACAATGAGTTTTTATTTAGTTTTTGGAGATGAGTTTTTAAAATTGGTTTTGTTGAAAAACTTTTGCACTCAAAGAACTTAAAACTCTTTCAAAGTTGATAAACGTTCAAACACCATTTCGACATTCAACGTCAAAGCTATCTTTTTATCATGTTTCAACCAAGTTTTATGAGCAAATGCCTACTAGATTCCTTCGGTGGTAATTAAAAATACATTTGCTTATTAGATGCTTTTGATCTGCTTGATGTCTTGTGTTTGCTGACATCTACTGTTATCTTTGAGGCGCAATTGATAAAGTTCAATGAAACACTCAAGTTTGTTTTCATTTCATTCATACCCAGTAACATTGCATAGTGCTACTGCAGGGCATACATAATTTGGGGAGATTGATAGGAACCAAGAACTTACAAAAGGATATGAATCTAATTAAATCAAGAACTTACAAGAAAATAGAAATATAAATAAAGCAATAGGACAAGATACAGGAACCAAACAAAAAGACTACTACCAGTTGCACACAGGAAAACAAGCTTGGAGTCACAAGTTTTTGTCTCAGCTATAAATTAGAATTATAGAAGTGTAATTTAAAGTTGGCACTTCAAACTAACCTAAGAGAAGATATGCTGATACTTAATATCAATTGGAGTGGTGGAAGTGTGTGTGCTAGAAGTGACCAAATCAAGATGCTGATTATGCAATTTCAGGCAACCAGAAAGGAGAGGAGTACTACGCTTGCAAGTTCCAATTACAGAAAGCAACATGTAAAGAGAAGATATAAAAGACTAGTGAGTGACTCACATTTCACAGCTTTTAGCAATCAGAACATAAGCACATACGCCATACAATACTCTCTCGAGCTTTAAAATAATTAACAAGTTAAAAAATAATATACTTAACCTATATGTTTAAAATCTTGTATTCACCTTTTAGCAATCACTACTACTATGAGCTATATGAGGCAATGCATGAATCTAAGTAGAGGAGAGGGAAATATTAAAGATGACTGAGGTCCCTAATCGGGTAGATACTGGTTAAAAGCAGAAAATGTAGCAAGGTCAAACATTCATCAATCAAACTCTTCCTAAATTTTGATCCACCTCCTGCCTAAAACTCTAGTAGAACAGAGGTTCGGACTCCAAACTTACCCAGACAAATAACCAAAAATTATCACAAGTTCACAGCAGAACTTCAATCACATATCCTCAAAGTCAGTCATGCATGCAATGACTTTGCAGCCAAAAACAAGGATATAGCTATATTAATATAGTTTTCAACTTCTAACACACTTCAACCGAGTTCAATACTCAAATTTAGGGGTAATTTAAACTCCTACATCAGAAAACGGAAAATCAAGTGCTTGAACATTAAACACAAAGCATTTCATCCTCAAATGTTACTAGGCAATTGAGTGTGCAAGCAATGCATAAACTTACAGAGCAATCATACTAGCAGAAGAAGCAAACATTTTTGCCAAATAACAGGGAAATAGACATAGGGCATTGTATATAAGACAGATAACACGTAAACGAGAATGACAACTGATTATACCCAAAATTGCATACTATTAAAATACTTAAAACAAAATTCAGGGAGTCTCAGAAAAAATACACTTTAGCTATTCCAACAAGCTTCAAAGTAGCAAGAGCAATAAGATATAACAAAACAGAAAACACAAAAGATAGAAGAAGGACTAATCAATTGTCTGCATGATCTCCTCGGCGGTGAACTTAGTACCCTTATCCTTATCGGCAGCAGCACGACCCTTAGCCTTACGGTCAAGAAGAGACCTACGGTCCTTGTCGAGCCTGAGTTTGGAGATGACGACCTTGGATGGGTGAATACCAACGTTAACAGTGGATCCATTAACCTTCTCTCTGGTAATGCGCTCAATGTGGATCACCCACTTCTTACGGTAAACTTGGACAACTTTTCCTTCACGGCCCTTGTAGGTTCCACGAACCACCTGAACCTCGTCGTCTTTCCTTACCGGCATGGACCTAACGCTGTACTTGGTTCGCAACTCTGAGGACAAAGGGGCGCTCATCAACACCCGACGAAGGCTGGAAGGCGCCGTGAAATGTGCCTTCCTGCTCTTGCGGCGGGAGGAGGATACTCTTGGATTGTACTTCATCTTCGCCGATTTCTCTCTCACGCTCCCTCTCTGCAAATGTGGCCGGTAGAGATGACTGTGATTAGGGTTTTTGAGATCTTATGGCATAGATGGACGTATAGCAAAATTCTAGGGCAACTGGTAGGCCGGTAATTTGGGCCTACATTTTCTAAACTATCCGGCCCAACTATAATATATTGGACTTGAAACGACTATAATCCCACTAATTTAGATCCTAATTATTATAATTTCCAATAGTTTGTAATATTACTTTTTATACCATATTTTGACCTCGAGATACATGTATCATTAAGGGCAGAGATACAAGTATCCAACAGTTTTTAAAGCTAAGATAAATAATTTATCAATTTGAATTAAAGAGGTGTAACTTATTTCCTTTATTAAAGGATTGATTGTTGACTAATTAACAACCCAACAGATTTACAGGATCTTGAGTATCAACTCTAACAAGTTTTCCTAAAATGACGAAATCATAAACCCAAATAATTTTGTTATTGTACTCTTCATCTTCTTCATTGGTTCCATCCTTTGTAACCGCCTGAATCCTACGCCAACTTTTTAAAACACATAAAAAGAGGAGTACATCGGCAGGTTGAGGTGCAATTTAAAATAGTCTAATTATGATAACGGAACTGAATAGAATAAAATTGGTACAGAGAATCATGTAGTTTTCTCCTTTGATATTGAACTCTGCTGCTGAACGACCAAAATCCTTGTCATATGCATCAACCAGAAAGGTTCTTTATTGCCCTTTGTGCAACTTAGTTTCATTTCGTTACAAAGGTGGATGATGCATCTCGTCATTAATAACGCTATATGTATCTCGAGCATGTATCTCGTAGCTTAATTTTTAAAAGTTTATACAATCGAACTTTAGAGAAATATGAATTCTATCTCAGATACATGTATCAATAAGTATCTCAGTCTTAAAAACTGTTAGATACATGTATCTCGCCACTAATGATACATGTATCTCGAGCATGTCTCTCATAGCCTAATTTGTTACAGTTTATACAATAGAACTTTAAAGATATATGAACTCTATTTCAGATACATAAATAAGATGTAAAACCAAGATACATTAGAATAATGAAAAAAAAAGTAATTTACATCTTTGTATACTTGTGATTATCAAAATTTAGTTTTGAATTAGGGACATGCAAACATGAATTGAGAGGATTAAGGAAGAAAGGGAGATGGTGAAAGTGTTTGAAGATCGGGGGGGTGGGCTGGGGGTGAGAGAGACGGAAGGTAATGGGATTTGGGGAGGGAGCAACAGATCGAAGTGAGAGAAAAACTATTTGAATTGATAATTTACGATTAATTAATGAGTTTAAATTTTAAGATAATTATTTAATATCATATATAAGAGATTTGTGTATCTAATTAAATATTTTAACCTATATGGTATAAAAAATAAAAGTGGTATTGTGCGTAATTTTTTTAAACTAGAGATAAATTAAGTATATATGGTGCTAAAGTATGTCTAACTAGGTAGTTTTTCCTATAATATATTGGACTTGAAACGACGTGATCTACGGGCTCATGTCCAAATGTTTAATTATTGGCCTTGCAAAGTCACAACTTTAGTTAAAATGGTCCAATGCTTGGCCTTATAACACTTCAAACAAAAACGTCTGAAGTTAGACAGGAATTTTTAAGTAGTGCCACAAATGAGTAAACTTTTTAAAAAGAATTGTGACATCGACTATAAATTGAATGGCAACCAAAAACAAGTACTATTTGGGCACTTCGCTAGAGTTTTCTACATAGATTTTGGTTTGGTCCATATGAAAGCTGGTCTTCGGTGAATACTAATTGAGACAATTACTTAACTAGACAAACTTTGAGAGTTCTAAAATACTATTAAATATAGCGAGAGTTTTTGAAATTTATCTTACATCAATGATATAATAGTTTTTAAAATTTGTCACGTATCAATGATACATTAATATGTTATGCATCAGTGATAACAATTCATTTTGTTTATGTTATTATATCACCAAAACAAAGAGAATTTTAGAAATTATTGCTATTTTTGATAATTAGCTTTCAAACTATCACTATTTCTTTTTTTAAAAATCCATACTAATTTGTCTAGTATTTTTTTTCTCAATAATTTGTGTGGAAATAAATGTAAAAAACTCTCTTTGGGTGGGCAGATTCAGTACTATAAACTTTATGACACATTTTGCTTGGGTTTATTTCAAAATACTAAAATAATTCAGACAAGACAAGCTTTTTTTTAAGATGAACATTTAATTGCCTATTTTCCTAAAAATGTAACTCTCTGTCGTTTTTTAATATATTAACTACATTAATTTTTTATTAACATATTTACATGACCGTTCAATCTCATGCCTTTGATCAATTATGATTTGTGAGGGCAAAAATAATTGGAACCTATTCTTCTCTCTTTGACGTCGCATTCAAGTTCTTGAACTCCTTTTAACTCCAGCCACGTCCCTTAAAGCGTTTGAACTTTTTTTATTAGTATTATTTTTAACAATCCTTCTTTTGTGCAGCCAAGAGTAATTTAGATGAAATCTTATTGAGATGTGGTAAATGAGTGGGTTGAGCTAAATTTGGATGAGTGGAGATGAAGTGAGTTAAAAAGGTTAGATTATTGATCTGTTCAAAAGTTACTTGAGTTGAATGGGCTAAAATACGGGTCAAAATCTAACCCCCTCAATTCTTACTAAGTTATAATTGTTTTATTTGTTCTTCTATAATCTTTCACTACATAATAAAATTGTTATTTTTCTTTATTATGACTATATATACATCAAATTTTTAAAAAATGTCTTTTTGAAAATATTTTGACCAGATTTCAAAAGAATTAATTTGACTAGATATCAATCCAAAATTGATGGGTTAAGCTAATAAATGGGTGAGACAATAATCAACCCAAACTTGAATGAATTGAACGAGTTATGATTGCATGAGCTAATTTTGTTATATCTAGTTATATATTTGACCGGGCTCTAAATATTGATCATTAATAATTCTTATTAATTATACTTCTCCAATTAAATCCCTACTTAATACAATTTTAAAAGTTTCTTTGACCATCAAAACAAGGAGAATACTAACAAAAAAATAGTCATTGCTCTATTTATATTTTCTTTAATTAGGTGAATGCATCACTCATAATGCTATCACAGGTGTCAACAAAACGGAACAACCATGAATAATAATTTAATGTAAATATAAACATAAACAATTACGATAATAATTCCATAAAATAAAGTAATAATTACTCAATTAACACCCCCCTCCCCCCCCCCCCCCTTTTGAATGAGTCTCTTATTTAGTTCAATTTGGCACAACTACATGCACCGCTCCTGAAAGCGATAGCTTCCACCTCTCCTTCAATAGTATTTGCCATTGTCATTTCATAGACAAGCTTAGACTCTTTTTTTTTTTCAGTATTTGAAATTTCTTACTAATTCAGATTCACATTGAATATATGTGAGGATATTTCTTTGGTGCTGCCATTTGGTAAACAGGTTTAGTACATCTCTTTTCAACCTTAGAAACAAATTAATGATCGCCATATTCTATTTTTGGTAAAATATTTGTTTCTCTTCCGTCCAGTGTAGCTTTCCAACCGTTTGGACTAGTCAGGTTCTGTGCAGTTTGATGGGTTTTTAAGGAAAGTGGAGATTTACATAAGAAAGCAAATCAGATTGCAAAATTACCATTCAATAGTACTCACAAAAGGAAGCAAGTAATTTTGAATTTCCATTCCCAAAAAATTATTAAGGGAAAAAAGCATTTATTACCTTACCTGCAAATAATTAATGCCTCTCAACTACATTATTACCAGCGGGGAAATAATTCTCTTTTTCACCTCCTCTATTTCCTTGATTTCTCCATTAGTACTCAGCCCCTAAAATCATAAAACAAAAAACGTAACGTTTTCAGCGGAAGCAGTAGAACTGGGCTGCAAGGTGAAAATTAAAGGGGTTGGCCATGGAAGCCATCAGAAATTGGGCAGATTTAGGGATTGTTGATACTATTTATGAAGACGATGCTGAAGATTCCTCTACTACTTCTCTTTCGATCTCTCCAGGAATCTCTCCATCTCCTTCACCTCCCCGCTCTAGGGTCGTCTCCTGGTAATAATTTAATTACTTATACATATATGTTTCTTATATGTTGTCTGTCTTTTTTAAAATTATAGGAATTGGAGGTTTATACGATTTACTAAAATGTGAATTTACTTCAATAAACATGGTTTACGCTTGATTTTTTATCTGCATTTGTTATTTAAGGTCCAAAGTTACTGGAAATGAGACTGATGTAGTCATACATGTTGAGAGCTCACGTTTTCGCTTACACAAGGTACTTTCATGCTCCAATCATTTTTCATTTTTCACCTTTATCTTTTCCTCCTTTTTTACCCATGGGTAAATTGATTCAGAAGGAACTTGTTCCTTTTTTAATTTGTTTTTTTGTTTCTTCGACAATTTTTTTCTTTAAAATTATTGACTTGTTGGTGTGTTGTTGCTACATCTCCATCAATCTGAACAGGACTAAAGTTGACCGAATAATTTGTTTATTTGTTCGTATCTTAACATAAACTTAAGTTAAATTGTTTCAACACAAATCTATACTATCTGTCTGTCTATACATAAATATGAAAACTATTTCACAAACAATACAAGAATTAACATGATAAGATGTTCAAGTTCAAACAGTATAAGTACAGAAGGACACTAAAATAAAATGTTAATATGAGATGCAATTGTCTAGTCATCAAGGCCCATTCCTAGTTACTACATATTTCCAGAATACCCCTTTCTTCTTTCATTTTTAGAATACCTGATTGCAAAAATTTACTAGTATTTTCCTACAGAAATAAGTGTTGCATTAACAAATTAAAAATAAAATAAAATTATCCCTTAAAAGTTAAAAAGACTAAATAGTTTTGAGTTTTATTTTGGACTACTAAATTCTCACCACTTCTTTTTCTTTTGTTTTCAAAAGGTTTGAATATTTCAAGATATAAAATAGACCTATTATATTTTACAGTTCTTATAATTCAAATTGACACTAGCTTTTGGAAATATCCACTACATAATTGAAGATCATAAAATTGTTTTACAATTATGCACTTGATAGCTGTGCCTACAACTGAAGTGTACATTTCTCAATTAATGCAAAAACTGGGGGCATTTACTGAGTATTTACTAAATTTACCGTAGGATCCGTTGGCAGCAAGGAGTGGATTTCTAAAAAGAAAGCTGAAGGGTCTGTCCGAATTAACCCTCTCTCCGCCGTTAAAGATAACGGCCGAAACATTCTCTTTGATCGCAGAGTTTTGTTATGACTCGCACATCGTCGTTACGCCGTTTAACGTCGCCGCTCTTCATACGGCGGCGGAATTGCTAGAGATGGCGGAGGCTAATAACATTGCGGGTGGCGAAAACTTGGCTCAGAAAACGGAAGCATATTTCCGCCGTGTAATTGCCGTTAATCGTGAATATGCATCGATCGTGCTGCGTTCTTGTGTTTCTCTGCTCCCGGAGTGTGAAACGACATCGTCACTGTTGAGTAGATGTATTGAAGCGTTAAGTTTGGTAGACAACGGTGACAGCATTATGAAGTGCCTCAGCGAAGTTAAAGAGTTGCGGCCTGTGGAATTTCAGTTAATCGTGATGTCCATGAATCGGTGGTTGAGTGGAAGCCATGATCAGCTCTATAGAGTTGTTGACCTTTATCTTAAGGTAAGATACCCCCAATCCCAATTTACAAAATTCAAACTATATCACACAAATTGGAACTAAGAGAGTATAAATTTTTAATCTAGTTCATTCCTTTAATTTGTTAGTTACGCTGTTCTTTCAACAGGAATACAAGGGGAAGATAACAGATGAAGAAAAAATCATAATGTGCAATTACATCGACTGTAGCATCCTTTCGCCACAACTTCTCATGCATGCGGTCCAAAACGCCAGAATGCCATTAAGGTTTGTGGTCCAAGCCATGTTCATTGAGCAATTGAGCACCCGCCGCTCTATCCTAACGTCCACTGCTGCTGACAACCACGATCATCACATTGATCTTCTCCGAAGCAAAAACGATGTCAGTTTGGGTGCAATTCTCGAGCGAGACGCAGCACTTCGTCAAGTGTCACAGCTTAAGGCAGCTATGAACGCCACAAGCTCACGAATCCAGAGTTTAGAGCAAGAGTTGAGTGGCATGAAGAAACTTCTTAACGAATCAGATCAAAACGTGAAGAATAATTTGTCCCATAACTCTGCTCGCTCTGCTAGTTTTCGATTGAGTTCCGAGAATAAGATCGATAGAGGACAAATTGGATCAGTTTCATCAGCAAGCTTCCGGATACTTACCGCTAGAGATAGAGCGGTTATGGGATCGTCTAATTCATCAGAAGTATCTTACGAGGAAAATACGAAAGTGGAAAAGATAAATTTTAGTAGAAGGTTTATGAATGGATTGAAGAGCGCATTCCGAGTATCAAAGAAGAAAACAGAGACAAAGGTGGAAAATGTAAAAGAGGCCGAAGATGGTAAACAACAACATGGGGAAGTTGTGGTGATAAAGAAGGATGTGCCTTTTCGCAGGCAGCCTCGTTCTCTAGATTAAAAAAATAAAGTCCTTCGTTTGCACAATTTTTATGTGTTACTTGAGGTTTTGTTGAATTTGTTTTCTCCTATTGGTAAACAACAACATGGGGAAGTTAGCGTTTTTCAAAATTGATTTGGGGACTGGTATAGGATTTAAATTGTGTTACTAGTTGCTTGACTTGTATTGCTTTCCAAATTGTTTTCTCGATGTGAGACCATGTCCGCACACCACACAATTCATAGTTTGTTTGGTTGAGTAGAAGTGTTTGGTGAGCTTTTAGGAAAAATAATAGTAGTATAATTAGTAATAAAACATGAAAAGAATAGTTTCTCCCCAAAAAAATATATATATTAAAAGTAGAAGGTTGTTTTAATTGTCCTTCTGGCGAACTACTGAAAAGCTGTAGTAACTCTTTAGAATTTCAATTGTATACTTGTATCTCAAATTATAAATTGGTCTGAGTGGCATGTGCAAACTAAATTCTCAATTATGCTATACAGAGTGTAGTCCAATAAAAATAACGTGATTTATTAATACGTTCACATGTGACTTATTTAAAGAGGCTGAAATTAAACCATATGTGACTGTTGTAAACCTGAAGGGAAGATAGAGAAAAGATCTTGGTTGCCAGCATTTCGGTGGGCTTCATGTATGCAAATCTGAATTAATCAGTATTTCAAAATGAAATATGGACGTTATTTTTGGGAAAAGAAAGGTTTGTACGTAAATAGTTTATAACTACTATTTCTAGTGCTTGGTAATTTCCTTTTTTTATTTCACATTTGGTACCCGCATAGCTTTAGGAGTCCGATTATTTTGAATTCGCGCCTCAATGAATTACTCAATCATAAACTGACGTTGAGTTGAGTTTTCATTTGATCATACATTTTGAAGTTGAAACTTGAAATGTAAAAAAAAAAAAAAAAAAAAAAAAAGGTGAAAGACACAAACAAAAATTCTAAATAATATGTTAAAATCGAGTCATCGATAAGATGTTTATCAAAGAGATTTTATTTTGAAAAATTGAGTTTTTAAAATTGTGTTCGAATATGAATTTACGTGGAAAAAGAATATAGCTTTGTGCGTGAAAGTTCTATAAAAAACAAGGAATCTTAGAAGCTAAGTTAGTTTGGCTACATAAATTTCTACCTTGATGATGAAGATTTGATTCACCATCTTGTAATATCCTTCCCCATCCTCAATTTTATTTATAAAAATAAATATAAAGTCCCCAAAACTCAATCAAATTGGAATTTAAAAAATATTTGAAGACCAAATTTTCTCCTCTTGTGACCGGCTTAGATTTCCATTCCGCGGAGATGCCAAACTTTAATAAGTGTTTAACCAGACTTTGGATTAGATTTTAAAATTTTATTTTTTTAATATTTATTTTGACTGTATACATATTTTTAATATGATCAAAATATATTTATTTGATTATAAAAGTTGTTCAAGAGTTTCAAACTCTATTAAATTTTACAATCAAATAAATATTTAAATAAATTTTAAAATTTAATTCAAATATTTGATTGGTTAAGATTTGGAGTCAATTCCCTAAATGGTCACTCAAGTTTATGGAATTGCCTTAAAATATCATTTATGTTTCATTTAGGACCAAAATATCACTATTTTCCTCCAAATATACTTACCACTTCAAAAGTCCCCTCTCTCCAAGTTGGCATGCCATGTCATTGAAGCCTTTTTTTTTTTTCTAAATAATAGACTTATTTAATTAATCAAACTCAATTAACTAAAATAATGATCTTGTTGTTTTTTAATTATATATATATATATATATATATTGAACAAAAATTTTCATACTTAAAAATCTTTTATCATAATTAACTTTTTATTTTTTTATGCTATGAAGAATAGTTTTTTTTAAAACTTACTATAATGTCATCAATTTTGAATACTTATAAAAACATATATTCAAAAAATATTGATATATAAATCACTGATCAAAATTAAATTAAAAACAAAAGTTAAATAATAAACTTCTCCTTTTTACCAACTATTTTGTCAACCTTACAAATTTATTTGAATACTTTTATGAAAAAAATTACTTAAAATTTTCAAATAATTTACTTAGAGATTTCAAAAATTCTCAGGTAACAATTGCACACAAAAAAAATCATTGAATTTTATTTGGTAGAAAAATATGAAGGAATTAGATATTTTAAAAGTATTTTTTTTATAATCTTCATAAATTCTCACGTAATTTATATATTTGTTTTGTAGAGGCATAAGTTTAATGAATTAAAAAGGTCTATTATTCTTTTTTTTTTAAATGATGATTTAATGACATGACATATCAACTAGAATAGAATGAGACTTTTGAGGTATTAGTATATTATAATAATAATATTGTAAGCATGAATTTCAAAGTACACAATTAATTATATTGTAATAGTTAATTGACATTTAATATTATTAATTCATTATACAGTTTATGATTAATTGATGTAAGTTAACATTCATGAGTGATTTGCATATCGATATTTTTTTTTGAATATATGTGTTTATAAGTATTTAAAATTGATGACAATATAGTATATTTTAAAACCCTATTTTTTCATAGCATAAAAAAAAAGTTTAATTATGATAAAAGATTCTTCCGTATGAAGTTTTCTTCTTAATAAACAAATATATATATATATATATATATATATATATATATATATATATATATATATATATATATATTAAAAATAATAAGATTATTATTTTAGTTAAATGAGTTTGATAAATTGAATAAGTCTATTATTTCAAAAAAGACTTTTAATAACATGGCAGGCCAACTAGGAGAGAGTAAAGTTTTTAAAGTTTTAAGTATATTTGGAGGAAAATAGTTATAGTTGGGTGATATTTTGATCTTAAGTGAAACATAAATGATATTTCAAGGCAATTCCCTAAACTTGGGTGACCATTTATGGAATTGACTCTTAAAATTTGGCATCTGAATAGAATGGAAATCAAAGGTGTACCGAGATGGAGTGGGATCTTCCTTGTACATTCCACTCATGACTCATGAACATGACAAAAAATAATGACTAGGATTCAGTTCATCTTGTTTTTTGTTCTTTTAGGGGACGGATAAGGTCGTGTGATAATTAGAAAAGAGAACCACCGAAAAATAAAATATACAGAGAATATATCTTTTGATTAGACTAAGTAATATATCCTCGTTAAAAAGTGATGCATATATATTTTAATTGTCTAATAAATGATGTATATTTATTCTTTTCGTTAATAAATTTGTATTTACCTAATTGAAAAAAATTATAACACTGATTTTTTAATTTTAAAAATATCACGCGGTGATTGGTGATCTTTAAAAATTATCTCACCTCTTTTCTATGCCTCTAGATCCGACCCAAAAATAATATTTTTTCTTCTACTCAGTCATAAAATTGATTTAGATCGGATCTAAATAGAGGCAGAATTGATTTGTTTTAATTGGATCGGGTTTGGGTGAGTAAAAAAAAATGGATGACGTAATTTTGTAAGCCACATGACATTTTTGAATTTTAAAAAATCAATTTTGAGATTTTCTTTAAAAAAATTCTATATGTTAACGAAAAGGGTAAATTATAATATTTATTAAATGATAAGAGTATATATGCACTATTTGTTAGATGACAAGGATATATAAAGTTCGTTTGGGTTGACTTTAAAAAGTAACTTTTAAAAGTGCTGAAAGTTATTTTTAGAATAAGTAGTTATGCGTTTGGATAAAAGTGTTGCCGCTGGAAAAAATTGTTGATGTGTTTGGTACGTAAGTGCTGTTAAACAATTTCTTTTATATCAAAATGCCTGAAATCACCTTAAAGTTATTACATTATAAAAAGTTGATAACTTTAAGATTTGAGAATTTCTTTTAAAAAAAATAAGTTGATTAAGTTACAACCATATCATAACTGAAATTGAAACTCTTATCGGTGGGCTAAAACTTGCCATTGCTCATAAGCTGAATTCCATAGAGATTGAAATTGATTCCACAAATTTAATTGACGCACTGAATCCTCTATCACTTCTTGCAGATTACTTATGAAGAAGTTGGGAAATTCAGTGGTCCGCCATAACTTTCAAATTTCGTCATGCCAACAAAGTAGCAGATTTTTTGTGCAAAATAGGTACCAAGCTAACACCATCCTCACAATCTATTATCATATTCACTCCACCAGATCCAGTCCTAGCTCTAATATAGGCGGACCAGGAGTAGAAACTACTAAACTAGTATTAATGACTAATTGTAATAAGTTAGCGTGTTTTGAGAATCTATCTATAATCACCAGCTATGGTGAAAGTGTAATCGCCACTAGGCTTGTAACCGCTTAATATATATATATATATATGCTCAACTTATTACTTAAGTTAATTTTATATGCACAACTTATTTAGATTTTAAAAATATATAATTTGAATAGATCACGTGAAAGGTTTAAAATGTTTTTTTAATTACATTAATAAGTATTACTTTATTTATTATTCATATATTTCTTCATCATCACAAATCATTTATAAGAGGAATAGTTAAAGAAGGACAAAAGTAATATCTAAAAGAACTGAAGGTACAAAGTAATATTTTTCGTCAAATTTAAATGACTTTTAAATAAAAAAATAAAAAATAGGCAGAGTAATATTTTTTATTTTTGACTTATATTAAATTATTTTTAAATTTATTAAATACTTTTATTTGATCAACTTTTAAGTCAGTTCAAACATACTTTAATCACAGATTTAGAGGGGGTATATTTGGCCCGCTGCCCTTTGAATTATGCAACTTCCATTTTTAATTGAATTTAGACTTTTTATCTACCAAATAAATGATGTTATAATTATTACATTTTTTAATTTTAACTTTAAATAAAGAAATACTAAACTAATGTTAACCAATAACAACAAAGTAAATAGAAAAATATTACTCTAAAAATAAAAATATATTTTAAAAGGGTTAAAAACCATTTCCCCCCTTCAATGGGTCCAAGATGCTAATATTATTTAAGAGAGAAATCTATCGCGTCCGTTTTCTCTCTCGTGAATGTCGTGATCACAACCCTCCCACCAAAGCTCAATCCACCATTCCTAATTTCATTCTTCCTCCCTAGCTTCGGAGTAGTACATTTTTGCTAATATACAATCAATCGATCAAGATTCAAGATTGTTCCCAGTTCAGATGCTTGATGATGACTGTCGTCGGAAACAATGCGTTGATTTGTCGTCCTCAGTCGGAATCTTGCTGTGCGTCGATGAAGTTAGGGGTTTTGAAGCTACCGGCGTGTAATTGCAAAGCTAAATCACTGGGCTTCCACATTACAGGTACCGAGGTGAAAACCACCTTCTTACCGCATGTAAGGAAAACGGAGACTTCTAGAACCGTTCATATCAACGGAAAATCCGCAAGTTCTCATCAGCCAGGATACAATTCAAACGATGAAATCAGCGCAATCGATTTTTCTGGCTTTTCTGGTATTGATATTCTATCTTCTTTTAAAATTTTACTTTATATACATATTTTCCTCCGTTTTCTTGAGACACATTATGTTTGTAACTGCTAATCTATTATGGAATATGCGTGATGTTACTGTTTTGGACTCAAAAGTACATATAGTTTAGAAATTTTAACAGTGTATATTTAACTCTGAATCCTCCATTATCATAAAAAAAAGTAGTTGGTGCAATTAGCAATCACGCCAGCCGGCTTTAAAGTCTTGAATCTCTCTTTCTACGGAAGCACTGCAAAATTCTAATTTCTGACTCATATGCTATTTCCTCTTGTATCCTGTGGAAGAATTAGAAATTCTTTACCTCTGATTTTATCTGGATTGTTTGGACATATCTTTTGTTGTGAACTCAATGAGACATCTACTAGTTTAATTGAGACATCTGCTAATATGAATGATAAGGAGGATGCGACTAGTGATTGTCGCATTGATAAGCCACAGCGGAGTACTAGAAGTGTCACCTAATAGGTTGGACAGTTACTTTTGGGCCGGAAGAAAGTCACGTGAGCAAGGCTACGGTTAGTTATGAAAGTTGTATAAAAGTGTGAGAGCGTAGGAAAAGGGTAGGCAGTTAATTATGATTCTGAATATTCTTACCCTCTTCTTCTGTCTTCTCAACCCAATTCTAGGCTTCTAGTTTCAGATTTCAAGTATATTTCCTTGTATCAGTGCTCCTTACAGTTCCTTTGTTTGTGTCCTATTGTATTGTAATTGTATTCCTTAAAAGATATCAGTTATATGTATAAGAGTTTGTTTGTATTGTGAAAATTGAGAGTGTTCCATCTTTTCTTGCTTATGTGCAATAGACGAACGGGCACTCTTTACTTGTGGCTTATTATTTTCGGTGGAATTATTAAATGTAATTTGAGTGTTAAAAAAGTAATAATTATTGATGGTGAATGATATAACTAGGTAAAAGTATACCCCTGACTTCTACAAATGGGAATTCAACAAACATTGTTTGGCACAAATGCTCTGTAGAGAAAAGTGACAGACAGGAGTTGCTTCAGCAAAGGGGTTGTGTTATATGGATAACTGGTCTCAGTGGTTCAGGTTTGTTTCACATCCCATAAGCTCATACCAGTTATCAATTTTTCCACCTCTCCATCACTTTATATTCTTGCAGATACTTCTTTCCATATGATGTAGATGTACTGTACGTTTCTTTATTTTCTTGGTTTTGTTTTGTTTTCTGTACATGCATATGATGCTTCAGAACAATGCACAAGTCTGAAATGCTTTAATCTTCCATTCTGTTACCAACAAATGCATTTCTAGTTTCTCTGCAAGCTATTTTTCCAACATACTGTGGGACTAAATGCAAATTCAAGATTTAAACCAAAAATGTCGCAACCTAACATTTAATTGATTTTGAAGTACTAGTTAGATAATGTTTTTTCCTATTTAGTTCTTTTTTTTTTCCTTTACAGCCTTGGTCAATGGATTCATCTGAAACTAGCAGAATTCAAAGATGCTTTTGTAGATCATAAGATTAGGCTTACTTATAAGAAGAAAGATTAGGCTGTCTTTCGTTGTTGCATCACATTCAGGGTATTTGTAATGATCCCTTCATTTGCAGTCAGGGGCGAATTTATGTACTAATTTTGGGTCACCCGAACCCGTGGTCATCCGACTAAACTCGATATATTACTTCTATAATTATTAAAGAATATATTAAATTAAAACTTGTTGAACCCGTTCTCAAAATGGTTGGATGGTTCACTGGTACCACTGCAAAATTTCAACTCACAGGTCGCAGGTTCAATCCCAGGCAGCCCCAATTCGCTGCAATTTATTTTTTTTAACTAAAAACACATTTTTCATTAAAAAAAAAAAAAGAAGCTAAATTCTGAAAGTTCTAATAGTCAAAGACTTCAAAAGTTTCCTTTCCACACACTTTTCAAGTTCCAAATTCCAACAATATTTTTCTTCTCTCTTCAAATTTGTTTTCTATTTTCCACACAAAGAAGAACTTCAAGTCAAGAATTTAGAGCATTCTCCTCAATGAAGCTCATCAAAAATGATCTACGTAATAGCATTGGTGAAGAATTTTTGAATGGATGTTTAGTTTGTGAGATAGAGCGGAAGATATTTGAAAATGTAAGTAATGATGCTATTATAGATCGTTTTCAAAATATGAAGTCTCGTCGAGTACAATTGTAAACTGATGATATTTTTTGTGGTAATGTAATTTTTATGTATTGCTCGCTTAGTTATTGTTATTATAAAAAAAAATTATCTTATCTTTAAAGCAATGGTGCACCCGTTTTCTTAAAATCCTGGATTCGCCTCTGTTTGCAGTAGCATGTTGATATTTGATTATGATTTTTTAGTTACTAGATGGTTAATTGTGGAATTCATGCTAACTGTATTCCTTCTTGAAAGTCTTAGATCAGCATTCAGCTATAGTATTCCTTCTTGAAAGTCTTAGATCAGCATTCAGCTATAGTATACTCCTGCAGTTTTATGCTCTCCGCTTCACGCTTAGCTGATTACACTAAAAGATCAAGAAATAACAGAATCATTTAAGTATAAGATTTTGGATAGTTATCCTACCAGAAGTTTGCTTGATGAATACGAATTTTGCTTAAGAAGCCATTCATCAGTAGACAAGGGAATAATAATCTGAAAACCTGGAGTTGTTTCTAAAATAATGGAAAACAGCATGTCAGCATTCAAATGGTTCATTCGATTGCAATTTCAACCTGGTCTCTTTCAAACTGCCTAGTTGAATTTAAAAATTATTTGTAAACATGCTGGCTTAAGTTATTATAAGTGTAGATATAATTGGAAGCCCATGGAATGATTGTAGCAAAACATCTTAATACACGACAAGTTATTTTGTTCTCTTGACATTGCTTAAATTCTTTATTTTTTTATTCCTCCCCCCTCAAAAAAAAAAAGGAGGAGGGATCAAGCAATACTTTTATCCTTATTGCTCGTATTGCCTGGTTTCTGTCTTCAGTCTATGAGGCATGAGCTGTTTGCATTGGCACTTCCTGTTTTTAATTTTTATATATTAAACATATTTTCAGGGAAGAGCACTGTGGCATGTGCTCTAGGTCGCGGTTTACATGCTAGAGGAAAACTCACTTATATTCTTGATGGTGATAATGTTCGCCATGGTCTAAATCGTGACCTTAGTTTTGCAGCTGAAGATCGGGCAGAAAATATAAGGCGGATCGGTTGGTTGCTACCTTCTCCACATTTCAAAGCCATCATATTGTTCCTTCTGGGATCTAATAATTGCAAATGGTTATTTTACAGGGGAAGTGGCTAAGCTTTTTGTGGATGCTGGAGTTATTTGCATTGCCAGTTTGATATCTCCCTACAGAGAGGAGCGAGATGCTTGCCGTGCTTCACTACCTGAAGGGGATTTCATTGAGGTTTGTACAATCATTGGTACTCAATGGATTAGCTTCTCAAGTGACACCTTGATTGTTTGGCATATCTAAACAGCTGTTTGAGTTGGCTAATTTTTAGGTGTTCATGGATGTTCCTCTACATGTATGTGAGGCAAGGGATCCTAAGGGATTGTATAAGCTAGCTCGAGCAGGAAAGATAAAAGGTTCTATCTGTTATCTCGGCATCTCTTCCTTTTGTGACTAGGAAGTATATTATGTAGTTGTATACTTGAATACACTCTTGCACTAATGAATTGGATTAATTTTGAGAAAGAAAGAGAATTGAGTTTGATTCTCTCTCTTAGCTATTAAAGCTACCTGGTCCTTGAACTTTTGTGTCCCTGCTGCTGTAGGCAGGAGATCCCCCTCTCCTCTGCTGATTTTGTTTTTGTGTCACTTGGTTGAACTTAGCTCTTGAAGGTGATTATAATGTGGGATTTTGCCAATTTGCAGGTTTTACTGGTATTGATGATCCTTATGAGCCACCGTTGAAATCAGAGGTAAGACAAGTTTCTCTTCTTGCTCAAACTAATTTGACATGCTGATCGATTTGAGGATAGAGTGGTAGCTCATATATTCAGTAATTGTCAGTATTCAGATAGTCAACATTTCCCTAACTTTAGGGACTTGTACTACATTTTGAAACTGAAGATAAGTAATTTCAATCGTTCTGTTTATGCCATTGAGACTCAACTTTCTTTGGATGTGGGCTCAATTGCATTATGGCTTTTTCTCTAAGCTCTAATTATATCTGGTCTTTGTTGTGCAGATAGTGTTGCGTCAGAACCAAGGGCTATGTGATTCTCCTGATGACTTTGCTGATGTAGTGATCTCATACTTGGACAAAAATGGATACCTGAAAGCTTAACTGTTCAGGACCTTATGTTCAAGCGAGATTCAGAGAGATTTAGTTTCCCCTGTGTATAAGTGGAAAATGATGTATATAGATTTAGTTTGTAAACTGAAGGTTAGCACTGCTATTATACAACGCTTATGATCATATCACAGAAAGAAGCATTGCATTCATGTGCTAATTTGAAATATTGTCTTCTAAACTTGCTTCTAGAAACCCTGAACAGACTTAACTTTGGGAGTATCCCCTTACCCCTAATCTTGTTCAAGTGAAGCTAATAACGATGTTTAGTTTCTAGAAACAAGAACCATAATTGAGGTTTGGTTTTCAAATCAAACATGGGCTCTTGGTAGTTTATTGATATGGTTTCTTCATCTAACCAGTCAACGAGAACAAATAGATAAAATAATAGCAGGAAAATGAATAAACAAAAATCAGAACTTAATTTTGGATTTGCATACAGAAGTTGCATTCTGGAATTTGGTGAAAACTGAGATGTCACAGGTGCTAACTGTTCTGGCTTTGAGCTTCAAGACCTTCCATACAGTGACCTTCCCATGTAAAGCGGTTGACGAAGTAAAATTCAAGCAACCAGAGAATAGATCTCCTAAGAAATTAGGATTCTTAAAGAAACCATCTGAATCAATTAGCACAGTTGTGTTCAAATCATGATCTGCTCTAGCTGGAATAGTGTCTGCTTCAATTAGTGCTTCTGCTGCTGGATCTCCGCGATAAGTCACATAAGCTCTGCTACTGTCATACTTGAAGCTACCATAATTCCTGTTATGGATAGTGAGGATTAGGCCAATTGTTATGTTGAGGTGAATTGCTGGAAATGGCTCTAATCTTACTGTCTCTAATGCGACAGACTGAGTTGTGACTTTTGGACTTTTTGGCTTTAGGATAGTGAAATATAGAGTAATGGCAACGATAAGAAGAATAATTAAGAGAATTGCTGTGATGCCGCAGCCTATTTTGAGGGCTTTCTTTGTCCTTGAATTGCAGCATCCCATGGTGCAGTTTCTGCTGAGAAGAATAAAGGGAGATTTAGAGGGTATTTACACCATGAGTGTTGATGATTACTCATTGAAGGATCAGCATGTGGAGATTATTCCTAGGTGGCTTTGTATTAACCGATTATTAGACGGTTCAATTCCTTATGTTCAAGTTTTCTGAGATTTTTTGGCTGCTTCTCATTTGTCACTGTAATGGTGATGATAACAATAGAAGAAGAGTTGTTTAGTTGAGGTTGTACAAGTTTACAAGTATTTAAGCTTCTTGTTTGTATCTACTAATACATTGAGGGCTTGTCAGGTCTGCGCAGCTACTTCTTTAAAAAAAAAAAAAAAACATGGACCAAAGAATTACTAGCGCCCCTTCACTAATAACACCGGGCGATCCTCAGTTACAAATGAATGCAGAAATGCTTTGCCTTGACACCAATTGCCAGTGGCCGTATTAATAACCAAAATTTTAAACTTAATATAGAAATGTCAAAAGAATTTAATCAGACGGAACTTCTTCTTCCTTTTTTTGGCAATACAGTAACAGTGTCAATGTCTTTTTCTGGAACTGACAAGGACAACAGCTCAGGTGGCCTAACATAAAATACAGGCTCAAATGAGCCATAGAAACTTTAAAGAGTAAAAGAAATGAAAGATGAGTGCTGAATAATGGAAGCGTAGTCCATCTACAGGTGTTAACGTCGTTGAAGCCTTGACTGCATATCTCTGGCCACAGCAGGGAGCCATCTCTCCCCCCTAATTTTTTTTAATGCTGCAACTCTTTCTTCCTCTCTTTTGGCAGCTGCTTTAGCTGCAGCTTCTCTTGATTCTAGTCTAGCCAATGATTTCTGGCAAGCATTTTTAGATGCAGCTAAAATATCCATCCCATCAACAGCAATGGACTTGATTTGGTTTTTGAACTGTGGCAACCATAATGGGCCGAGTGAGAAGGTGAAATAACAAAACAGCGGAGGTGGAAAGAGAGTTCAAAATAAAAGATTTCACCAACTATGAATCAAAACGAGAAGTAGAAAAGACAAACCTCTTTTGAGTTCTCCTCAAGTTCCTTCCCAGGACGAATTCTTGGTTTCTTTCTGGGTTTTTGGAGTTCGTCTAGCAACAAAGCAGGGACACAAATGTTTTAGTTTTAGGCTCTAGTCTTACTACTGACATCTACAGTGTGCACCCTCTCAACAATATGCAGCTATAGTTGCTCAGATAGCAATGTGTTCAGGCGGCGAAGGAGGCAAAGAAGGTAAAACCCACCTCATTCACCTAGTTCTCCCTCCTGTAAGTCATTGGGCGATGAATCCATTCCGCGGTGTATTTGTCTAAGAACAGTTAGTTCACGACACCCATCCTTTCCCTGGCCCCTTAATCAAAATAAATTAGAAAAAAGAGACGTTTTTATGTCCGCTTATCTATTCACCCCACTGTATGCCTAAAATTTTTGTGTGCTTACTCCACAAGTTCTATATGAATTTTCATCATTCCTTTCAATCACATCCTTGACTTTCTCCATCTAAGTAGTGACCATCAGAACAAATTAATTCCAATCATATTAGTCTAGTAAGTAAAGTGAAACGCACTAAACAAACCCCCCACCCCCAAAATTTCTGTAGTTTGGTCACTTGACTCCTCAAAATTTAAGGGTAGTCATTCAGCAGATTATTCCTTTTGTTAGTTTCTGCTAAGTGTTAACATCTCTACTAAAGCGATGAAAGAGTAGGTGAAACAAAAATTCGAAATCTAAACGATAGCCTGGAAATTTAGGATGAAGGAATGCAAGTTGCTGTTAGAATTTAGAAATTAGCCTGGCTCTTCCCGCCAGCATGGCTAAAGACATTTTTATTTATTAAGAATAAATAAGTATGGGAACACTGTAGCATGGCTTTTCCATTATGCATCTAATAAACTTTTATCCCATAAGTGAAAGCAAGTTAACACAGTATCAAGCTTACGCTTCTATTAAACAAGGTTGGTCAATGTAGTAAAAGGTGGGATTTAAGAATGTTAAGCAAACAAACAACAAACAACAAACAAATTTTAGCAGACATAACAATCATCAAATTACTTGCTTGATATTTTCTTTTCTTTTACCTGTGTGATCAAACACAATCCCAGGTGGAGCACGCCTAAACAACCGGACTCCACCTCCATTCATTGAGGGTGTATCTTCCTGTGAAGCATCATCAATGTCTCTCACTATGTCTAAAGTCTTGTCTAAAATGTCTTCTAAAGTCTTCAGGCCCTGTTAGTGTCCATTCATGAAATTTATTCATCAAGCAATGACCGCAATAGCAAAAACATGATAGACCAAAATGTTGTTGAAGGCAAAATTACTACAATCTTATCAGTTCCAATTGTCATGTTATTAGTGCTAGCATGATAAGACATACTATAATTAGGCTATGAGAATAGAGATAAAAGACTCCCTAGAATCAAATCTATCAAAATGAAGGGATTTCTAGAGTATTAAAATAACATCATTGGAACACTCAGTTAACAAGAGTTGCAAGGTGTATACTCAGGTAAGCAAATGAGAAAGTACCTTTATTTGATAATGTTTGAGCTTCCGGGGTTGGATAGTATCTATTTCATCTTCTTGGAATGGATGGGTGATAGATTCTCCGTTAGTAGCAGTGGCTGATGAATGAACTTTGGCGGTAGTTTTGCCGAATGTAGTTGTAGCAGCAACAGAATCTATGGCGGCTCTCCAATCAGCATCTCCATCCTCTTCACTGCTGCTGCTGCTACTCGTGCTTCTTCTCCGGTCACCACCCATCGTCGCTGATTGCTGAGTAGTTTTTCCTGGGTTTCCGGCGGCGACAGTGTTGGCCCAAACAGTTTGAGTTACGACGAAGTAGTACTGGGCCTCAAGCCTCTAATTCATTGGGCTGAATATAGAGCCCGTTTGGATTAACTTTTAAAAAAAAAAATTAAAATTTAAATCACAAATTTTTTTAAAACTTCGTATTGAATTAAACTATAACTTATAAATTGAGACGAATTATATGATATAATTGTTCCTTTTTTCTTTCCCTTTCGACTTTTAAGATATTTCGAATATATTTCATAAATAAATCTAGTTTAGAATAAATTTAAAACATAATTATAATTCAGTTTTGATTTTAAGCTCCAAATATTCAAGTGATTCAAATAATAATTAATCATAATTTCAAATCTTTTTTCTACTATATTTTCATTCCTTTACTCAATAATAAAGATTCAAAATTCACTTATATATATACTATAAAGGGGAAGCCGTGCTTTGCACGGTCCCAATCATTATTATCTGAAATTCGTAATATTTATTTGTGCTATTTCACCGATAAAAATTCAAAAATTAACTATAATAAAATTTAAAATAAATAATTGAAAAAAACATGATAAATATAAAATATAAATGAAACCCATAAAATATTTTCATGACTCCAGCTTATGAAGGATCTTTAAGTAAGTTTACAATTGAAATTTTAAATGGATTCCACTTTTTTTTTCATTGGATGAAGAAGAGGCAGCATATAACAGTTTCTTTCCATTTTTTCATTGGATGAAGAAGAGACAACATGTAGTAGTTATTTTTTTAAAAACTTTATTTTTTTCTAATAAAGAGCATATAGTAGTTAAATGAAGAAGATGCAGCCAAGGGGAATAAGCAGGCAGCACAAGCACGAGTAGACGTGTTGACGGTCTGCTGCTATTCCCCTTTATTAGATAGTACTAGATATAGGACCCCGTGCCAATATATATATATTTTTTATTTTAATTTATGTCATATTATGAAATTTGAGAAGTTATTGAAATTTTTATATGATTTTAAAAATATTTTAAATTTTTAGCTATTGTGATTTGTATTACTTTTTTTTTAACATAATTTTGAAAAAAATATTTATTACTCTGTTTGTTCTAATTTATGTGGCACACGCAGAATTTTAAATATTAAGCATTTTTTATATGTCTCTTTAATATATTAAGTTGTTAATTATTGTATTTTATTGTACATTTTGAACCTAATTTTTTAATAATATATGTTATTTGCCATGTCCCAATTTATGTGACATTAATTGATAAATTTTTGGAGTCGAGAGATTTATTTTGTTAATTATTGTAATTTATAGTTTTTTTTCCGTCAATTTCAAACAATATATGTT